ACAGGTGCATCTGATGAACAAATCAAACTTTAAAAAATTCTACGGTAATTACCCTAATAAGTATAAATGTGTAAGTGAATCTCTTATTACCTGATGGGCAATTAAATATTCCTTTAATGGTCTATGTAATTAATTCCGTAAAACATAATCGTAAATAATTATCGAATATTTCTCTCTGGTGTGTGAGGTTATTGACACACACACACACACACACACACACACACACACACACACACACACACACACACACACGTTACCCCCGCCTCACCCTTTTATAAGTATACTTCTTGTTACATCTTTCTTCACCACCTGTTACCACCACCTGTTACCTGTTAATAATCCTGGGTGGTTCAACAGCTAATAACGGGGTGTGTCAGGTGGGTCTACAGTGAGAACATTACCGTGGTGTATTTCAAGGCTTTCTTCATACTAACTCATATATACATTAGATCTAACACACATAACAGAATAATTATTTACATATTTACAAACATTGACGTAAATAAGTACATCTAACAGTACCATATTTCTTCATATTATAGTATATTTTCCACATTCATACAACAGAATCACACAGGACTCTATTTACATATTTACAAATATTTACGTAAATTAGTACATCCCAGGTATTAGTTATTTCTTCATTAGCATTATGTATCGAGTATTTATTTTCACATACGTCACAGGTGAGCGCAGGTGTAATAGCCTCAAGACACAGGTATGCTCAGAAGGCTATTAGAGGAGCTATTTACTTCACATATTTCACCAGGGTTCCTAGTTGTTAGCGGCTATTGTGGCTATTTAAGAGAGAGGTTTATTTGCTAGTAATGTGTTGGTGGTCTTTCTGGGTGTCTAAATATCTGCTTATTCTCGTTCTCACTGTATTTGTCTGTCTGTCTGTTTTATAATTATGGTCGTTTGTGTCATTTAGTCTATGTTTGTTTTTGTCTTGTTTATGTGTTTGTGTGTTTGATTTTTTTTTATCTCTGTTTTTGTCTGTGTTTGTTTCTTTCATCTCCGTTTGTTTGTCTGTTTGTTTTTGTTCTGTTTTATCTCTCCGTCTGTTTGTATTGTCTGTAGGTATGTTTCAGTATCTGTCCATTTGCCTGTTTTTTTTTCTTCTAGTTCAAAACACACACACACACACACACACACACGGTCATTAGAACCCCTCAGTTATCTGTATTTAAGCGACATTCATATTCAGTAACGTGTAATAACCTTGTCAGTTTTCGTCACCTAAATTCCTTTTTTTTTTTTTTTTTTCCCTAAAGATGATTCACCTGTCAGAGAATTTACCTGAGCACTGATTATTATCTTTCTTCAACTCAAAGTTTTATAAAAATTACGACATTGAGTTAAGAATTCTTGTGTTTAGGAACCTGAGGTGATTTAAATAACCAAGGTCTTTTAGCGATGTCTGTTGTATGTTTAAAATGTTAAATATTTATCGTGAAAAACTAATATGGGAATTTGTTTTTTTCTCTGAGGTGCTGTTGAGTATGGATGCTTTTTTTTTGGAGGGGTCCCATTACTGTCAGCACACGAATGTCAGCATGTTTAGCATATTTGAAGGTAAGGATACGTAAGGATGTCAGGTAAATATATAGAGACAGGGCCACACAAACTCATATTGAAGTCTGTATAGCTGGTAAATAAAGCCTTTTGTAATTCTTCTGTTTTAGCTTTTCTAATTCTTCTGTTTTAGCTTTTTTTAATTGTGCTGTTTTAGTATATCTTGCTTTTTTGCTGTAGCTTTGTCTGTCTTTGTTATAATAGATGTTTACAATTGGGAAGATCATTATAAACCCAGTATATGAGAGAGAATTCTTCCACCTAAATCTTAACACGGATTTAAACTCATATATGACTGTAAACTCTGTCCTTCGTCTACACTAACTACTAATTAAGTCATTTTTCAAGCTGTTACACAAGGTTAACTTCCCTGTAATTATTTAATACCAAACTGCAGTGTTTTAAGCAGCAGTTTTGTTACTAAATGCTCATAATGTCGCGGTCACTTACAACCAACGATCAAATAACGTCGCTAATACTCAAGCGCTGTGGTAATACTGTAAATATTCCTAAATAAAGAAGCTATGTCCTCCAATAATGCTTAGTGTCCATAAAAAGGTAAAATGACTATAATTACTAGAAATAATGACACGTAACCCTCTTGTAAACAAGGCGTCAAGTGGGAGGACTACGAACATAAATTAATTACTGTATATATCGTACTATATATGCACCTGCACAATAAACATGAATAAATAAATAAAATTTTAAATAAAACTAACTTAAAATATACTTCGTTAGGTTAGATTAGTAAAGTTAGGATCATTAGTTAATATAAAAAAGTTATATATATTATTTACGCCCGCAGCACTCGCCCTTCTTCAGGTCTCCGAGTACTGGCCTTCTCTTCCGCATGTTATAAACTCCCTAAGACCATAAACGAATAAACAAAATACACAACAACGTTCATTTATCTTACATACGACAGTTATTACCTCCAGTTGTCTCTCTCGGCGGCTTTTATCTTATTTCCTGATGCTGCCAGATGACGGATGGTTGGCGGTGACCCACTCAAATTACATATCTTTCTTAAGTTGTAGGGGATGGAGTTAACTTTTACTATGATTTATCAATAATTTCCGTATAATTTAACTTTATTTCAATATTGTTATATAACCTGCATATACGTATACTTTTACCGCTAGTTATAGTTATAATTATCGTCATCAAAGGTTTGATCTTCCTTGATGGTAATTTTACTCACAGTTAAAACCAATTAGTTATTTAGCGGTTTATACTATAGACATGAGGTTTATTTAGCGGTTTATACTATAGACATGAGGTTTATTTAGCGGTTCATACTAGAAAGGAGGTTAATTTAGCGGTTTATACTAATTATTAGGTCTATTTAGCGGTTTATAATAGTCTTGGGGTTTATTAGCGGTTTATACTAATTCACACACGCATTCCTCTCTCTCTCTCTCTCTCTCTCTCTCTCTCTCTCTCTCTCTCTCTCTCTCTCTCAGCCAGTAGAGATATACAGGACACACATTATTCAATCCTGACTCTAAATACTCATAGTGATGCTGATAATGTCTGTAATCTCCTCAATGATCTGAATATTAAAGTGAGAGGGGGGGACAGGGGAGGGAGGGGGAGGGGGAGGGATGTGTCTGTATGTTTGGATGTAAGGCAGGCCGGTCTGTGTCCTGCTCCTTAACAGTTACAGGATACAATAAGGAGAAAGCAGGTTGTCGGAAATACTGCTCCTGTGGCCTGTCAAGAATCTTTAATGGTGGAGAGGATGATATTGTTATTTATTGCACTATCTATCTATCTCTTCTTGTCTTATATATGTATGTATGTGTGTGTGTGTGTGTGTGTGTGTGTGATATATTGACACGTGTACACCTCACTAAGTATAAGCTTATTTACTCCCGTCCTCCACCACGCGACACACGTGGTCCATTTCACGGGTTTTTACACCTTTTTTTTTTTACATATAATTCCCCACCAAGAATACCCTGACGTCACTAGTCCACAAACTTCATTGATTGGCTAATGACTAGACCCCAATGACGTCAATACACAATAAACCTCATTGATTGGCTAATGACTCGACTCCAGCAACGTCACCATTCCCTGCAACCAATAGGATCACAGATCTTGGCATGATCTCATATATCCGTCAGCCAATCAGAAAAAATTAGATATAAATCCCAACGGAAAATCAACTTTAAATCCCTTTACAAATAACACCAAGACGCTGATGACACCACATAACTTAGATAATTATAAGTTGTAAAGGAAATTGAGAAAGGATTTTGATTTAGTTAAGAGGATTAGTGATAAAATGAATAAAGAGCAGTGGATAAGCAGGGAGCAAGAGCCCGGACCTACCTGGCTGCCCACCTCAGGTTAACCTTTGTTATTTGTGGCCGCTAACGGGACCCTCAGCCACTTGTCCACACGAATTCCACGAGTGACATTTGAACCCTTTATATCAGGGCGGATCTGGCCTGCCTTATCTCCCACCTAACACGTTATTAACACTAGTTATTGAACCTAACCTAACCTAATCAAACCTAACCTAACCATATCTAACGTAATGTAACCTAGCCTGATCTAACCTAACCTAATCTAACCTAACCATATCTAACGTAATGTAACCTAGCCTGATCTAACCTAACCTAATCTAACCTAACCATATCTAACGTAATGTAACCTAGCCTGATCTAACCTAACCTAACCTAACCATATCTAACGTAATGTAACCTAGCCTGATCTAACCTTACCTTATCTAATCTAACCTAACCATATCTAACCTAACGTAACCTAACATTATTTGTAAGGGTTAGGTTAGGTTAGGTTGAGTCTCAGTGCAATATTGATTTCATTTCATTTTGGACGCCATATTTTCATTCAGTTTTGTTATGTGGTTTATTTTTCTCCTACTTTACTTTTGCATTTATGGATATTTTACATAATTTGTCGTTTGTATTTTTTGTTATGGCAAGACTCGAGGTAAAGGGCTTCTCTCTCTCTCTCTCTCTCTCTCTCTCTCTCTCTCTCTCTCTCTCTCTCTCTCTCTCTTTGCTCTTGTCATTCCTGGTACAAAAACGGTCTTGTACACACTTGTTCCTTGGCATAGTTCAAACTCTTAATAAAAACAGTCTTGCAGTATTGCTTCCTGTTGAATCTGTGTTGCGCAATACTTGTGTTACTGCGGCCTCCTGTGTTATGTATGTATGTATGTATGTATGTATGTATGTATGTATGTATGTATGTATGTATGTATGTATGTATGTATGTACTCGTATGTAGGTCCTCCCCCCAACACAGGTAGGTCCCGCAACACAGGTAAGCCACCCCTCAACACAGGTAAGTCCCCAACACAGGTAGGTCACCAACACAGGTACGTCACCCCTCAAAACTGGTAATTCCCCAACACAGGTAGGTCCCCCCAAGGTTCAACAGGTACTCACCAACGCTAGTATCACCGTAGCTCTTGTCATGTTGATGATCCACCGTGGTTGTTGACACGTGGGTACAGTAGTAGTGGTGGTGGTGGCTGTGGTAGCCGTCACCAGTCACACACACCCTACAGGTTCACACTCACTTACTGCCCCTAACACTCCCTCAAGTGCTAGGATACTCAACACTTCACTTGGAATATGAATCACAAGAGACGAAAAAGACACTTTTTAAAAACACTTTCGATTAATCTTTTCCTTTAGTTATAAACCAGAACAACTTGACGTTAACACACTGATGTGATGATAACTTTCTGTCGTCCGGGAGAGGTTTTCTGTGAGTTATTTCTTGTGGCTTATTTTTCCAAGATGTAAAAGTTGGCACTACACAAGGCACTATAGAGGGCTGGGAGGGGCCAGGCTGGCACTCCTCAACACAACAACACTGACCAGGCTCGCAAAGTCCGCTATAACGTCCAAGACGCCAAAACGGGACTTATTTTCTCCACCAATTGGCGACTCCTGATCAGAAGTAACTGGAGGGTTGTTGTGTGAGCGAGAGATAAGGATGATAGTGGTGAGTGTGGTGGTGGTGGTGGTGGTGATAGCCCGACCACGAGACGAGTGGGGGAGCAAGCGTCTCCTGACCAAGGCTCCAACCACCCAAGGACACCCGGGAACTGCCTGCTGGAGGGAGAGGCACGACGCTCGTCCACAACTCTACCCTCATTACAAACCACTATGACAACACTATACTACACTATACCCTCAGCAGAATGATAACGAATACATCTATAAACACCATACAACAAGATGAGAGTAATTAGTACCGTAATAGAGCCGTAGTGAAGATGTTACATATGTTATGCTCGGTGGGTGGCCCAGGGTGCAAGTGGAGCAGCGGTATAGATGAGGGAGGGCGTGGTGAGGCCGTCAAGGATATGTGAACCACTACACATCCTTCACCCTTATGGGTACCTACCATAAGGCCCATGACCACACCTACACACGCGCAACACTTTAATACCCTTTAGAATTGAAAAGCACTAACACAAGATGGCGCCTGTTTATAGTTTGGAAATTAAAAACTATTATGTAGAACAACAACAACAACAACAACTACAGCCACAATACAGCAACACAAACTTCAAAATACAGGAAGATTCAGCAGCTACAGTGGATTCAGTCGCTTTAAACGAAGAGAAGATAGTATATACGGTAGTTTGGTCTTTAACGAAACTAACGGAACTACCTTGTTAATGAATATGTTTACCTACTAATTAAGACACAGGTAATGAGGTTTGGAATAACTTTGAAATATATACTTAATCATTACCTAAGTGAATCCCAATAATAACAATAACAATAATAATAACACTAACAATAAAGAAGGAAAAAATAAAGAATAAACAAAAGTATGAAACAAAATAAATTAATTACTTTCTTCACCTGTATCGTCTACCTTGCTCACCTGACCAATTAAACACATAGTTAATTTACCCAAGTTAATATACTGTTAATATTAAAAACACTCATTGAATAACATAATTTTACTCGTATTTTTTTTTATATAGGGAAGATTTTTACTGTTATTTTTATATTATTTTTTAATACTATTAGATGAGACAAATTTATATAGTAATATTTAATTCCTTAGTATAACATAACGTATTGGGGAGATGGGGGGTGAGGGAAAAGAGATAAGGAAGAGGAAGACGAGGGAGGGGGGAGGGGGAGGAGAGAGAAGGGTAAGGCAGAGTTCACCCTGAGAAAGTCGGGGAGGGGGGGGACGCGAGAGGGAGAGGTAAGACACTAGAGGGGAGTGGCTTTGTAAACCCCCTCTCTCTCTCTCTCTCTCTCTCTCTCTCTCTCGTGATTCGTAATGAGATAATGTCGCATTGTCTCTTTCTCTTGTATGTTTGTCTGTTGTTCTCACCGTACTTATATACACTAAGAGACAAGTTGTATGTTTCTCTGTATTAAACTAATGTATTATGTGTATGACCTGTATGGTCTATGTATACTGTATGTAGTGTGGTGTAGTGTAGTGTGGTGTAGTGAAGTCAGTATTGCTTCACTATAAGGCTTGTAAAATAAAAATCTATAAATTATAATAACTAACAGACTATTATGCTTGTGACAGTGTTCGTCTTGCCATGAATTAGTGTTCGGGTATACCTGTGTGTGTGTGTGTGTGTGTGTGTGTGTGTGTGTGTGTGTGTGTGTGTGTGTGTGTGTGTGTGTGTGTGTGTGTAAAGTTCAACTCACTGATTTTATTTATTTTTTTATCCAAGTATATTATTCCTCACCGGTGGCAGCCTCTGAACAGGTAGGTAGGTAGAAGTCCAATCAGGTAAGTAGGTAGACAGCCAGGTAAGTAGGTAGGTAGAGACAGGTAAGTAGGTAGACAGCAGGTAAGTAGTTAGGTAAAGAGACAGGTAAGTAGGTAGACAGTGAGCCAACCAGGTATTACAGTCCAGGTATAAACAGCAATATTTCCTCACCACTACCACCACCTTGTCCCTGCCAAGGCCGAAGTCTTGTGCTGCCGTCATGAGAGGTGAGATCGGCCGGGTGTGTTGGCCCCTGTCTTCAAGGTCACCACACCACCCCGGGCAACTCTATATACCGTTTTCCTTACGTGTTAGTATTATCATTACCATTAACCTAATTTTATATCAATATTTCCTCATTTATTATTATTACTAACTAACACCATTTATTACAGTTTCCTATCTTACTATTTTTTATACAAGTTTTCATATAATCTTAACATATAACTTTTAGATATTTAATATTACAGTTTTTACGTCAAGTTCTTAGAAAAAAATTATTTACTCTTGAGCAGTGGTGAGTGATACAGCCTTGCCTCCTGTACTAAGAGTCTTGTTGATTTTACTGTAATATAAAATCAACTGTAACTAAGGTTTAACATAGAGTTTACTTAGTGTTGTATTAGACTACAGACTTACAGAACCTCAGTAATTGAAATACAGTATTACGTATTTTATTATTATTATTATTATTACTACTTTTTTAATTGCTCTTATTACGTATTTTTCTCTTATTTACTATTCTGTATGTCTTATTTATTCCGTATTTCTATCCTTATTATTAGTTTGTCTAAATGTTATGTTATATAAGGAAATACTGAAACAATACATATATAACAAATTAAACCATAAAAGATCCCTATAATCTTGAAGACGAAAGAGACAAAAACAAAAACAGGTTAATAAAAGCGTGTAAGGTCAGACAAATACAAAAAAACAAAAGCCAAGAGAGTAAAAGACAATAACTCATTTCACACACACCAAAAAGAATTCAAATGAGAAGTTATTACAAAAGCAGCTTCAATAAAAGACAAAATTACTAAGAGGTCATATGAAGATTAGTCAAGATTGTGTGTGTGTTTTCTGATGGTGTGGTCACGTTAGGTTAGTTAGCTCACTATCTCTCCTCCAGTTGAAGTCTCTGAGAGCTTGTGTTTACCTCACTCACTCACTCACTCACCCACACCCACTCACTCTCACTCGCCCACACCCACTCTCACTCACTCACTCACTCTCACTCACTCACTCACTCACTCACACTCACTCACTCACACTCACTGACACTCACTCATCCACCCAAAATATACCTTTATTAACCCTTTGAGTATTACCTGTGTATCGTAAGTGAAATAACACACACGATAGGTACAAAATTTACCTTAATTGATCCTCTGTATCGTAGCTTAAGTAGATACGTCCTCACCCTTGCACACCACGATAGTTACAATAGCTATCAAAAAAAAAAAATCGTAATTACCCTTTGAGAATCCGGGTCACCTGCGCAGGATATTCCCTTAACGATAAGATCACCTGTTCATTACGCACCTGGGAAATTGACGTAGTTATTATAGCAATATTTCCCAATTACACCTGATGACAAGATTTGATTTTGAGCCGTAATTAATAGGGATATAAGACCGTGATTCACTCGTGAGTATTGAGATCACCTTAAGATTAGCCAACCTCACCCCCCCCCCCCCTTCCCATCCCCAGCATATTTCAACTAATTAAATGACCTTGGTGGGGTTAGGTTAGGTTAGGTTAGGTTAATGCAAATAATAACCTTTAAACCCACAAATAAATAAATAAATAGATAAGAGACATGAAAAAAAAAATTAATTCCAACGAAAATTATACTGTTTGTTTACATACTGGTGGCGCCACGGTGGGCAAAACTCGCAACTCTGGGATAATAACTCCAACCTCTGAATACCATATTAACATACTGTATATTTAACCTCTCTATTCATGTCCAGGTGATCCCGTGCATGTTCTTGGTAATCACACCTTTCACACCTGGGACACCGTATAATTGTATTAACATCAATGAGTAATATGAGGAGAGTCTTATAAGGTAAGGTGTTGGATTATGCGTTCCGCGTACCTGAACCATCTGGGTGGAGGGGCCACTGGTTGATGATCTCTCTCTCTCTCTCTCTCTCTCTCTCTCTCTCTCTCTCTCTCTCTCTCTCTCTCTCTCCTCTTCTCCCTTCTCTTCCTCTCTCTCCCTCCCTCCTCCTCACTGGTCTTCCATCACCGCAGCAGTCAGTCAGTCAGTGGCTCCTACAAGTGACCTTTGCAGGGTGCTGACCTTCGCCTGGTGACCTTTCAGCTCCACATGTCTGGTTCACCGTGTTGCTGTGCCCCTCCAACCCCCTCTAGCCCTCACCATTATCCCTAGCCCTTACCTCTACCCCCAGCCCTCGTCCTAAGACCTCACCCTTACCTCCAGCCCTCACTCCTCTCACCTGTCCAATAAGTTAAAACCTGTAGTCGCTCTCTCTCTCTCTCTCTCTCTCTCTCTCTCTCTCTCTCTCTCTCCTCATCTCCCCTGCTCCGTCCTTCACTCCCTCCATCTCCTCTCTCTTTCTCACCCTCCCTCCCTCCCTCCTTCTCCTCCTCACTCCCTTCTCTCCCTCCCCTTCCCCCCCCTTAGGGTCAACCTTCCCCTACAGTAGACACAATAGACGACTTCCTGTGGGATAGGTGAAAGGTCAAGTGGGAGGGGGAAGAGGGGGAGAGGAGGTGGTAGGGAAGAAAGGGGGGAGGGAGGGGGAGAGAAGGTGAGAGAAATGATTATAATAGAGAAGACGAAGAGAAGTGAAGGAGGAAGAGGTGATGAAAGAGGAAATAGAAGACATGTGTAGACAACTAGCAGACAAGATTACGCAGCAGACAGCACCAAACAGCAGACAAGATTACACAGCAGACAGCACCAAACAGCAGACAAGATTACACAGCAGACAGCACCAAACAGCAGACAAGATTACACAGCAGACAGCACCAAACAGCAGACAAGATTACACAGCAGACAGCCCAAACAGACAAGATTACGCAGCAGACAGCACCAAACAGCAGACAAGATTACACAGCAGACAGCACCAAACAGCAGACAAGATTACGCAGCAGACAGCACCAAACAGCAGACAAGAATACACAGCAAACAGCACAGAAGATTACGCAGCAAACAACAGAGAAGATTAAGCAGCAGACAGCAGACAAGCAGTAGGCGACCTTGAGAATAACGGGCTCAGTGAGGGTACATTACTAACCCCAGCGTG